CATTTTCTTTCCCATATTTCCCAACATTTGTACCATCTGACCCTCTGATATGTATGTATATGTACTCATGTTCATGTGTGTATATTACATATATCCTTGTTAAATATTGTCAATCTCCTTTTATGAGTTGAGGGATTTTGAATTGTCTAGAACATTACCTGGCACACAAAAAGTGTGAGTGAATCAGTGAATGAGTAGTAATATGCTGCCAAACTCTTAAACATTAAAAAATATGTCAGTGTTAAATAAACTGTAATTAACAGTCAGTCAAACATTTGGGAAGATGGAATCCAAAGGAGAAAATAAAACCAGAATGTAGCTCTGCATTCTGTGGGTATGAAGGAAAAAAATTTCTAAGACGGTTAACGGTTAATTTTCTTACCTAACTGGCTTCTGAAATTATAGGAAAAGGAAGTTTCTCATAAAATGTGTTTGCACATCTTTCAACTGCTCTTATTATCTAAAATAGGTTTCCTATATGAAATGCATATTGCATATATTTATCATATAGATGAACATGTCAAGTAAATGTGTGTATATATGTATATATTTATCAAAAAGCATATGTCATGTAATTCTGTGTGTGTGTGTGTGTGTGTGTGTGTGTGTGTGTGTGTGTGTGTGTATAGGGCGGTATGGAGGTATGTCTCCAAAGGGTAAAAGTGCTTTATTTGTGGGCAATAGTCCTGGGCTTGAACTCAGGGTCTGAGCAGTTCCTGAACTTCTTTTGCTCAAAGCTAGCACTCTACCATTGTTAGAGATAAAAATCTCATGGACTTTCCCACCCGGGTTGCCTTTGAACTTCGACCCTCAGATTTGAGCTTCCCTAGTAGCTTGGATTACAGGCATGAGGTACTGATGCCAGCACTTTTTAAAGGTAATCTTTGAGCATAAGATATAGGTTGGAGGTACAATACTTGCATAGTATGTTGTTGTTGCTGAGTATTAACAAACATTGTAAAACTAATCTAATTTTTGCAGATTTATTAATCAGTTTGATCTTCCATAACATATGCAACAGTTGGATAGTTTAAACAACAGAACTTTATTACCTCATGATTTTGGAGGCTGGAAGTCCAAGATCAAAATCTAACAAGTTTGATTTCCAATGAGAGTTGTCTTCAAAACTTGCAAGGTGGCCATATTTTAAGTGTGTATTATTTCCTGAGGGAATGCTTGTAGAGAAAATAAGCAGTAAGATCACTGGTATCTCTAATAAGGAGAATAATTCTATTGAAACAGCGCCCCACTTTTATGACTTCATAATCTAATTACCTAATTTGGAGATCTCATCTCTCCAGATATAGTCACATCACAGGTTAGACTCAACATATGAATTTCAGTCATATGAATATTCAGTCATAGATGTACTACTCTTTTATTAAAAAAAATCAAAGGAAACAAAGAGAAAAGAGAGAAGGAAACAAGAACATGGAGAGAAAGAAGAGAGAGAAAAGAAAGATAACTATTTTGTACCACTTTGACTAATCTTGCATTTCTCCAAGCTTAATTATCAGTATTTCTTTTTTTGGGGGTGGGGTGGGGGTCCGGTCATGGGGTCTGAACTCTGGACCTGGGTGCTGTCCCTCAGCTCTTCAGCTCATGGCTAGCGCTCTACCACTTGAGCCACAGCACCACTTCTGGCTTTTTTCTTTTTGCTTATGTGGTGCTGAGGAATCGAACCCAGGGCCTCATGCATGCAAGGCAAGCGCTCTACCACTGAGCCACCTTCCCAGCCCCTCTGCACAGCACTTTTACAATAAAATAA